AAAGCCCCCATAAAAGGCGAAGAAACTGCTAGCTCCCTACAGATTGCTTTATTTTAAGTTAATAGTGAGAACAATTGCGAATTTGCAATTGTCACAGCGTACTTTTCTACTCTAATCGTGTCACAGAGGTAAGGGTTGCTAGGGGAGCCGGAAAGCTACAGGCTTGCTTCTCTGAAGGGGTACAAGTTTTTCTCTATTACTCTTCAGGGCCTTGGCAGCTTCAGGGAACCATCCACATTCTAATTTATGCTCCATGGGTTTTGCTGTGTTTGTTTTGTACAAATATGAAAATTATCTGAGGTTTAGTACCTGTGTGATGTGCCTCTTTCATAATTTAATTAGCTGCACCGTTCCCCCACCCCCAACAACGGGTGCAATAATTCTAGCTGAAACTAGTAGTTTCTGGTATTAGTTGGAATGATGTTCTTTTCCAATAATGTAATAAACACTCCTGCGGTGAGAGATGTAAACAGATCCAGCATAACTCACTTCTTCTGCAGCTCTTTTATTTTCTCCCAGGACTCGGCGGTACACTCTTCAGAATGGGATAAGGAAGCCTGCTTTCCAGGAATCTTGGGAACTTTATTATCTCAGCTGAAAGTGCCTGAGATAAAAATAGATTCATGGACAAAGGCTATACCCACGTTTTTTTGAAGATTTTTCTCTCCTTCACATTTGCCAGGAGTGGGTGATGTCTCTTAAAGTAGGCACTAGAAATCATTAGATGGACTACTTATTTGAAAGCATCACTTTATTTTCCATGAAAGGATCCGGGAATTTTCGTTTATTTGCTGGAGAATGAAGTAAGGTATAGATGACCTACAGAGAGCACCTTTATCTGTTTATGTAGACAATAATGTCTGCATCTACACAAGCACCTGTTGTGTTCCTGACATGGTTACAGGTGCTAGAGATATAGCAAAAACTGGGGAAAAGTCAATTAAAAAGGACAGCTAAGAAAGTATCCACAATAGTAAGTGCCATGGAGGCAATGAAACCAGGTTAATGCAACACCAGGTGAGTGTCAAATAAGCTATTTCTAGGAACTAAGGCAGGTAAGCAGAGATACAAATTGCACTAGGACCAGATATCTACCATGAGCTGTTTAGGGGGAATAGCTTAAGAAGTAGGGGGGAAAGTTTGTGCAAAGACCCCAAGCTAAAACCGAGTCTGTCATTGTCTCAAATGAAGTGGAAGCAGAAGCATACTGAGCCAGGGGAACCTTACACATGATTTCATGAAGCAAGAAATACTCTCTTCTAGGGCTTTGTAGTCATGGCAAGGAATTTGGCTTTTAGTGTGATTATCCTAGAAAGTCATCTGGGGCACAGGGAGTCTATATAATCTATCTGTTGTAAAAAGAATAAATTGTTGGGGAACAAGAATGGAAAAAGGGGCTCTTGTAAGGAGGCTCCACAGTGACCTAGAGAGAAAAGATGTGATGACGTGAAGTGGAAATGAGGCTGGTTGATTTCGGGACATACTTTCCAGCAGAATTCATAGAGACGAAGATGAGAGAAAAAGAATTATGTATGACAACATGGGGCTTGAACAATTAGATGGATAAATTTAATGATGATGGAACAGAATACTGGGTAGGCTACAGGGTTAAGAAAACCAAAAGCTTTATTGACCTATAAGAATTTAGTTATCTATAATGTGCTCAAAATTTAAGATTTTAAAAAAGTTAGCTCATTCATTAAAAAAAAAAACAAACACCTTATAAATGGAGTATAGGAAAGGATGGATATCAAAGGATAACTAGAAAACACTATATACAACTCAACAAGCATAAATTTGAAAAGTTATCTGAAATTTGACAATATAATGAAATGGACCAATTTGTCAAAATAATAAAAACTAAAATAATCTACCAAACATGAAATAGATAATTTTAACAACTCTATAATTGTTGAGTCAATTAAATTTAAAATAAAATACTCTTAAAGAAAGAAGTATTCAGATCATAGCATCTTACTGGACAGTTCTAGCAAGTGTGAAATGCATTAACAATTTTTCACAAGTTCTTCCTGAAAATAGAAAGGAGATAATAGTTCCTAACTCATTTTGTAAATCTAGAATTACTCTGATACCAAAACCTGATAAAGGTAATATATAGTTAAGTGGGACGGAATAAAAATCACAGAAGTAGATACACTCAATTACACTTGGCTGATTTCTTAAAAAGATGCAAACATAATTAAATGTAGGAATGATAATCTCTCAACAAGAATTGCTGGAGCAAATGGACATCTGCAGGCACAAATTGAACTCTAGCCAAGAGTGCATAATGAATACAACTTATATGTGACATTTTTTAAAAATTTTATTTATTCGTACAGAACTGGGGTTACAGGCTAGAGATGCAGAGGGTGAGAGGATTCACCAGAGACAGAGTGGGGAGCAGAACAGGCAGATCAACGAAGTACACTGCTGAGGGGAGCAGCGGGCGGGTCAGGAGAGGTCTGCTGCGCCATGTGGTGACCTCCGGGGCAGGCGGGGATCGAACTCATGTGGAAGTGGTTTAAGCTTTTTTGTGCTGTGCTTTAACCCACTGCGCCACCAGGGAGGGCCATATGTGAAATTTTAAAAATTTTAAGATAAACATAGGAAAATATTCAGGATATTTGGGTAGGCAAAAGTTCTGAGACTTAAATAAAAAAGCATGATTGATTCATAAAAGGAGAAATTGGTAAGTTGTACATCATCAAATTTAAAAATTCTCAGTCACCAAAGAGCCTGCTAGAGAATGAAAAAATTAGCTATATCAAGGGAGGAAATATTTTCAAACAACCTGACAAAGGACTAGTATCCAGAATAGATGAGAACTTTCAAAACTCAACAGTGAATAGCACACCATGCAATTAAACATGAAAAAAAAAAAGTCATATGGAAGTAGCTCACTGAAAAAAAAAAAATACAAGTAGCAAATAAACACATGAAAACTACCCAGTATGATTTATCATTATTAAAATGCAAATTAAAGTGCAACGAAACATCATTATATATTTATCAAAGTTAAAAAATGGAAAAATGTGATAAGACTAAAGGCTGGTGAGTATGCAGACTAAAAGCTACTTGTGGAAATGTAAAGTGGTACAACCACTTGAGGAAAAATGACTGGTAATTTTATTTAATTCTAAGCAGACATCATCCATAAAATCAAACAGTTGCATTCCTGGGAATTTATCCCAGAAAAATAAAAACATATGTTCAGGGAAAAAAAAAAACTTTATATAAATGCTTATAACCTTTCATTTTTAATGTGCAAAACTAGAAACAAGCAATATGTCCTTTAAGGGGTGAACAGTCAAACAAACTAAACCATGCTATAACTGTACCATGGAATACTACACAGTTATATAAAAGGAATAAACTATGGCCACAACAACTGGGATGAACCTCAAGGGAATTATGATGCATGAAAATGAAAATCTCAAAAAATTACATATATTATGATTCCAGTTACATAACACTTCAAAACGACAAAAATATAGAAAGGACAGAATCATGTATGCCAAAAGGACAGGGCACAAATAGAAGTAAAGGCAGCTGTGAAGGTACAATTATGGCTAGATCTGTGTGGTGATGGGAATGCTCTGTATCCTGGCTAGATCCGTGTCAATGTCCCAGTTGTGACAGTCTTCCGATCTTTCAAGGATGTTACCATTAGGGTAAGACTAGATACTTTTATCGGTTGTTATCTCAAAACTCATGTATATCTACAATTATTTTTATATAACAAGTTACTTAAAAAATAAAAGGAAAAAATACCTTTTTAGCACCTATTATATGCTGCTGTTTTATGTTTTAAATATGTGTTAAGTGTACCAAAGAGGCAAAACCAATGATTGATAGTGCTAACCTTATGATCAAAGG